GAAATCAATAACAACTATGACTTTTTTTTTCCATCAAATTCTAACAAATCTCTCTTGTCTAACATATAGAGACTAAAAAATAAGATAAATCAATTTTTAAGAAAAATTTAAATTTTTAATAATTAAAGAAACCGATCATTTAATAAGTAAAAAATAAAGGAGATTAAAATAAACTTTAATATGAAATTAAAAATTTTTATTTATCTTAGCTGTCCTTTTTACCTTGCTACTCTTTCTTTTAATGCAAATATTTCTTAAAAAAAAACATCCGAGTACTAATTTTCGCTCAGAATAGGTGCAATTAAGTAGGAAAAAAAATTTGAGAATGAAAATAATTTTTTTAAAAAATACTTGAACCCACAGTAATATGCAAGAGGATAAATAGTAATGAATACACAAAAACATAGCACAAGTTAGTGTTGATGATGTTGTTACACGACTCCCTCCCTCCCTCCCTGACTTAAAACATTATGATATATAGATGTTGGGGTTATCTCTATAATTTCAATTGTTTAAGTAAATAAAATCAGCTCATTTTTTATATTTAGATAAGGATGATTCATCCATTTAATAAATATCTCACGCGATAAATCATTTAAATAATAACATCTCCACTTTTGTTTTATCCAAATTAAACAGGAATGAGATCCCCATCATCCCACACCATCATTGATTTTTCTTTTTTGTTTTGTTTCTTCCTCAAAGAAGTCTGAGCCAATGCCCCATGAATCTTCTCTCTCGTTTGAAAATGAAATTGATGCTGTTCTTTTTTATTGACCTCTTAATCCCATGCAAAATAGAAAGTTATATGACTTTTTATACGTAGAAAATTGAATATTTAAGGGAAAATATCATGGCGTATACTAAGACAGTTTGTATGTACTATAATTAATTTTATAAATTTTAAAATTAATAATTATATAAATTTTTAATAATTATTATATAAGTAATAAAAAACTTGAATATAAACTATAAAGAAAACAAACTTTTTAATTTTTAATTTTTATCATTTAGATAGTTTTTATTTTTCCTCTTGATTTAGCTGCTGAGCAATGTGGTGTTTCTAATACTGTATTTTTCTTGTTTTTCCTTCATTTCAACCCAGATCAGAGAGGGCTGCTAATGAAGAAAAAAGCAACTTATGTCCCTCTTTTACACTTCCCTTCATTTCCTTTTTCTATCTGCAGAAATTTGTGTGCATTTGACAACGTGGGATAACCCATGTTTTAAAAAAAATTTAAATTTTTTTATATGTTTTAGATTGTTTTGATATGTTTATTTTTAAAATAATTTTTTTAAAATATTATAATGTATTATGAAATAAAAAAATATTTTAAAAAATAACTATTATTATGCTACATTGCTGGGTTTAAAAGAAGTGGAGATTGTTTAATGTTTACAGATATATACAGCCATCGAATGTGGCTGGTTTCGGGAACAACACAGCCTCGCTCTCCTGCTGATCATCCATTGCTGGGTTTTAAAGGTTTGAGCAATGATGTTTGCCATCGAAATCAGAACAGAGCAAGCCGATAGGTTGAATTGGGAAGGAAAGAGAGAGAAAAGTTGTTTATTTAACAAATAGATGATTTATAGACAAGGAGAGGAAGTGGAAGCTGGGGTTGATTAATAAACTTAGAACAAGGGGTCATATTTTAACAGAGAATCAGAGGGTATGCTTTATATATATATATATATAAAATATTTCTGTGTGTGTTCATTATCTGTTTTATGAACTAGAGATGCTTTGTTTGTTTTTTATGGGTTTTTCAATTCTGAATTTTCTTTAAGTTTTCACTTAGAAAGGCACAACCTTTTACTTCAATTTCATATGGGGTGCGAAACTCATTTATGCTATTCACAACATATTGTCAAATCCAACTTGGGATTGATGTGATGAAGGAGCAAGTCTCAAGTCAATTAGAAAAAATTAAAAAAAAAATTAAAATTTAGAAAAAAATACATATAAATATAGCATATCCATGTTGCAAATAATGAAATTTAAAACTTTATTTTAAAAAAAAATTAATATTGAAAAGATGCTATATATATTATCATAGTTAAGATATTTAAATAAAAAAAAATTATTATTCTATATTAAAAAAACATATTTTTTTTGTGAATATATAATATATATATCCTAAAGGATTTTAAATTTTTTATTAAAAAAATAAAATATTTTTCTAGTATTTATATATATAGTTAACTTCTAAAAGTATTAATAACTAACTAAATAATGTGAGAAAAAAAGTTCTTTAACTAAGAGAAAAAATATATTTTTTTGAAAAATCTCCATCAAGTTTCGCTAAGCTAAGTTCACAGATTTGACCAGTTATTCACTCATATTAATCTCTCATATTATCCAAATCAATTCAACTATTAAATCAGGTAGATTTCAAGGTAACCTGATGGGCTGGTTCGAATTTAATTTATATGATGCACCCTCACGACATCAATGCTTTTGTTAATGGTCTTGCACGCAAATTGTTGATATGTTCTATCTTCGAAGTAGGATTTGTGTGGGCCTCTTACCTGCCTTTGTTCTTGTTGTTTCCCCTATTTCGACCTTTTATGCCTTCCTCGTGCTTCCCTGCCGACAATTGTGTTTTTTGTCCACCTATATTATTTAAATAACAATTTAATATATATATATATATTGTATATTTTATTTTTTATTAAATAAATAAAAATAATAAAATTTCAACTCTTAAGTATTGTTTGATTGTGAAAATTTTGATATTATATTAAAAAATTAATATAATTTAAAAACTTAAAATTTTAAATGAAATCACTAGATTTATTTTTCTAGTATTTGTTTGCTTTGTTATCCCCATGTTATCTATGATGTTGCTTGTTTTACTTTATTTGATCGCTTTATTTCCATTGTTATTAATTCTGAGTTTAGCATTTAACAACGGGCCTTGTTGTTTCTTACCCTTGTTTTTTCTTTTTTCTTTTTTATTTTTTTACTTTGCGCAAGCACTGTTGTTATTTAACAATATTAATTTAACAATGATGGTGTGGCGTTAGCAAGTCTATGTATTTGTTGCTGATTTTGGCCCTTTTTCCTTTTCTTTTATCGCTATGCCTATGTTTAAAGCTCATGTCAAGATGAATGCATGCATATTCGCCTTCTTCCCTTGAGTTCCTTACCATTCTCGCTAAAGTTTCTTTGAAAAGAATTCTTATTTTGATTTACCAAATTAAGTTAATTACAGACTTGTAGCCCAACTACACAATGATTTCACAGAATTTTTATTTTATTATTATGTTTTTAATAAACACCTTTCAAAGTGTGAGATCAAATTAAAGGCTATCATTAGAGGTTTCTTAGTGGTTATTTGTGATTGAAGGTTTGGGAACATGGTATAAATATATTTTTAAAAGATTTAAATTTTTTTATTAAAAATTAATTTTTTAATATATTTTGAATTATTTTGATGTGCTAATTTTAAAATTAATTTTTAAAAATTAAAAAAAATATTATTTTAATACATTTTAACATAAAAAATATTTAAAAAAACATACAAGTGTGTGTATAAAAGATGGGTTCTAATTTCAAACCCAGGACCTTTTAAATGGAAGGGGGGACTAACGCTAATTCATCTGAATTGGCAGAGGTGTGTGTTTTTTTTTTATTTAATGCAATGGATTTGTCCCCCAGTAAAAAATTAAAAAAAAAAAAGCATGTAAGATTTTATAAGCAAATGCATCTATCTCACAAGCATGTTTCTTGTTTTTCTAAAAGAGTTTTTGAATTTTATTTTATTTTTTTATCATTTTAATTTATTAATATTAAAAATAAATTTTAAAAATAAAAAAATACTATTTTGATTCATTTTAAAATAAAAAATACTTATTACCACAACCACAAACACTATCTAATAAATTAAAAATATTCATATAAAAAAATATAAAATTGAAAAGCAGCCCTTCTTTCTTTATGAAGATAATATTTAGAAACACAATTAAAATCATATTTAAAAAAAAATAAAAATTATATTTTTAAATTGTTTAATGTATTAATATTAAAAATAATTTTTTAATAAAAAAATATTATTTTAATAATTTTAAAAATACTTACTACCACAACCACGAACACAAAACACTATCTAAATCATTCCTCTTTAAAATATTTAAATTAAACATATTTATATAAAAAAATATAAAATTAAAAAGCAGCCCTTCTTTCTTTATTAAGATAATATGTGGAAACACAATTAAAAATATAATTTTTTTAATATAAAAAAATATAAAATTAAAAAGCAGCCCTTCTTTCTTTATTAAGATAATATGTGGAAACACAATTAAAATTATATTTTTTAAAAATTAAAAAAAATTATATTTTTAAATTGTTTAATATGTTAATATTAAAAATAATTTTTTAATTAAAAAAATATTATTTTAATATATTTATGATCAAATCACACTTTAAACCATAATTGTTAACCATAATTGTTGTAACAATCTCAAACACCCCTTAATTTATAAAAGCAGCCACACGTTTAAGCAAAGGGTGATCTTGCACTCGTATTAAACAAGTAAAACCTATACGAAGACAGAACAGGAAATATATTAATACGTGAGATTGCACCCCTCTCAGGTTTCCATGAACGGTCGCAGGTTTCCTTAACTAGTTTCATGCTTTTTAATACTTTCCAAAACCTTTGCGTCTGGCATCATAACAATCAGGAAACAAATAAATAAAATAAAACCCAGCATTTATTTTCCATAAATTAATATAAATTAAAAGGCTCAGGATTTTCAGTAGCAGAACCATATCATTGCCAATAAAATCCAGAAACAAAAAAGGGAAGAAAATCCAGCTTCTAGTACCTCCTTTAATCATTCTTCTCATAAAACTCTCTCTTGCTCACTCTGTAAACACCATGCTTGCTTCTTACACAACTATTCAAGACTCAGGGTTTTTTATGTTTTAGTTCTTCTTCGGGTTTATTGGGATTCTTTCGCTGGTTGGAAAATGCTGTGCTGTTGAGAGAATGGAGAGACTAGCTATTATCCGAAACTGGTTTGTCTTCCTTGTTGCCTTCTCTTTCTTCGTTGTGTTTTTTAAAGCTTTTGATTATTCTGTTTTAAGTGCCGATGGAAAAAACAGCGCCACCTCTTTAATCAGCATCTTTGTCAATTCCTTTAACAACCTCCATGCCCATAAACCTAATCACTCTCTTGATGTCCCTCAAATGTTCAACCAAAACGCTTCTCCTGATCCATTAGTCGATACTGATAATCCTTTTATTGATGTCATTGAGTCTCTTGATCAAGCAAATAATCTTTCTGTGAACAAGAATACTACATTGGCTGCGAGAACCAAGAGACCAGTAGATTCTTGCGAGGGTCGTTACATATATGTTCATCATCTTCCTCGCCGATTCAATGATGATGTACTGAAAAATTGCTCAGTACTTGTAAAATGGTTAGACATGTGCCCGTTCTTGACGAACTCGGGCTTTGGTCCTCGGGTTGAGAATTCTGAGGGGGTTCTGTCCGAAAAGAGTTGGTTTACAACCAACCAGTTCCTTTTAGAAGTCATATTTCATGAGAGGATGAAGAAGTACAAGTGTTTGACTAATAACTCATCGTTCGCCAATGCCATTTATGTGCCGTTCTATGCTGGCTTGGATGCCGGACGCTACCTTTGGGGTTACAACATATCAATGAGGGACTCTTTAGGTTCTGATCTTGTCAAGTGGCTTGCGCAGCAGCCTGAATGGAAAAGGATGTGGGGAAGAGACCATTTCTTTGTTTTGGGTAGGATTGGTTGGGATTTTCGAAGACAAGCTGATCATGACTCCGACTGGGGTAGCAAGCTTATGACCTTGCCTGAATCTATGAACCTGACAGCGTTGTCAATTGAAACAACCTCATGGAGCAATGAATTTGCAATACCATATCCCACATATTTCCATCCTTCAAGTGACGATGAGGTATTCCAGTGGCAAAACAGAATGCAGAGCCATAGCAGGCGCTACCTGTTTGCCTTCGCAGGTGCCCCGAGACCTAGTGCGAACGATTCTATACGAAAGGAGATTATCCACCAATGTTTAGCTTCAAGGAGGACGTGCAATTTTCTTCGTTGTAATTCTGGGGGCAAAAGCAGATGTGATAACCCAGCTGAAGTGATTAAAGTGTTTCAAGACTCGGTTTTCTGCTTGCAGCCTCCCGGGGACTCCTACACCAGGAGATCGATTTTCGACTCGATTTTGGCTGGTTGCATTCCAGTCTTCTTCCATCCATTCTCTGCTTACGCGCAGTATACATGGCATTTACAGAGGGATTACTGGAGATATTCTGTGTTCATACCAATCGACTTAGTAAAAGATGGGTTTGTCAGCATCAAGCAGGTATTACTTCAAATTTCGGACAACGAAATGCTGGCAATGAGAAAGGAGGTCATAAAGCTGATCCCAAGAGTAATTTATGCAGATCCCAGGTCTAAATTACAGACCCTTGAAGATGCATTCGACATAACATTGAAGGGAGTCCTGCATAGAATAGGAAAAGTGAGAAATAATATTAACAAGGGGAGGGATCCTAGTAATGGTTTTGCAGAAGAGAATCGCTGGAAGATGAAATTATCTGGGATTGGAGTGGAAGAAGAGTGGGATCATTTCATTGATACTTCAATGAGATATTAACAAACAAACAAAGAAAGCTAATTCATATTGGATTGACAATAAAGAAAAAGAAGTTCCTGAGTAGCGAGCCCTGCCAAACATACAGAAAATTACAATTTGCAATTTTCGTACTTCTCTAGTGCTTTAACTATGTGATGGCATTCCTTTGATTAGTTCTACCTAATATATATTTGTGTGATCCTTTTCTTATAATCTTATTAAATGTATTTAGTACTTAGAAGAAGAAGAAGAAGAAGGTCTTCACTTTTCATTAAAATAAAAATAAAAATGAAATGGTACAATGTGTGTTCGGTGTATGAACACTAAATGTTCATTTATAACAAACAATATTATGATTCTATATATTTTTTATTATTGTTATTTACAATCTCAAATAATAATAATTAAAAAAGACGCAAGATGATGCCATTATCGCCTTTTATTTGAACAAAAAAGACAAAGTAAAAAGCTTACTACTTCAGAAACAATGGCGGCACACAATGCGAGTTCTCCATTAAGATATCCATTTTGAAGTTTTGTTACTTCCATTTTGAAGATATCCCATTCTTCGTTAAGATACACTATCAAACTTGAACAAGAGCAAATTTGATAGCTCAGTAAGACAGAACAAAATAAACTCAACATCATAAATGCGAGTTTATGTAAAGAATTAAACTTTGAATATATTTCAAATAATACATGAAAGTATAATTTAGCAGATTTAATAAAATTTATCTAATAATATTAACTTTTTAAAATAATATATTTTCAAATTTTATTTGACGTGAAAATATATTAAAATATAGTTTTATATACTTAGTATTTCATTGTAAAATTTTAAATTGATCTGATATAAAATTTAAAAAATATATTTGATTTTATAAAATTAATCAATAAATATTTTAAGATTAAATTTAATTCTGATTTAATTTAAAAAAATGGATTTAGATATGGGAAGAGAAATGAATGTGGTAATGTTAAGTTTTTTTTTTAATTCAATGGAAAAGCCATAAAAGTTTTTTTTTAATTCAATGGAAAAGCCATAAATGTTTAATATAACAGTTTTTTAGTCATTAATTAGTAAATAATTACAATCTAGGAGATATTTTGAACTATTTATTAATTTATTTATTTTTGAGGACATAAAGTGTTATGCAAATTTAAAAATTATTTTGATTTTGAATATAGACCATAATTTTCAAAAACAAAAATAGAGATAGATTAAAAAAATTACTAAACTGTAGAAGAGTCAGATTAAAATAATTCATAGCGAAAAAGATAAAGATTTAAATAGAAAAATTGAGAGAGACTGTCATTTAAATCTTAATTTCATTTTACCATATCAAAGATCGATGATGTGGTTGATGGAAAATGAGAATTGAAAAGGGAAGGATTCAGGGTTTCCCGAGACAAGTTCTCTCACGGATGTTTGCCAAAAATAATCTTATTCTTTTTTTCAGTTTTTAATTTTATTAAATTCAAATTATCTATTTATCTTTTAAAGTTTTTAATACCTTTTGGGTTATTTTCAGTTATTCCATAAACTTCAGGGATGGAATTAAAATTTATGCATATTTCCCCTTACCTTAACGGACTAAAATTGACGGAAATTGGGACTTCAGGGAAAGTCAAGGGATCTAATTAATACAAATAAAAGTTTCAGGATAAAAATGGAGATACCTTGTAAATCAAAGGTGAGAAAATTAACGCTTAATAGTGAAAAATAAAAAGGAAAAAGAAGATTCTAACATTACGCAAGTCCTTACGTCAGCAAGATTTTAGGTGTCTGATTGGTAGTTGGGACACAAGGAAAGGAAAAGATGCTTTTGACGGCAGCAACCATCACCACCATGGAAATGTGAAGGTCTCAGACGCACTCCCTCACTTTATTTACAGCAGTTTCGTTCGCTACGCCGTTATCGGTATTGATTGCTGTTGAGTTGAGCTCACGCACACACGGGGAGCCCTTCATTGTTGAAAAGCTAATTAGTCAAGGACAGGAGAAAAAGAGATGGCGGCAGCAGTGAAAAGGATCAAGCTGGGATCACAGGGCCTTGAAGTATCAGCACAGGGACTTGGATGTATGGGCATGTCTGCCTTCTATGGCCCTCCAAAACCTGAATCCGACATGATCGCCCTCATCCACCATGCCATCAACACCGGTGTCACTCTCCTCGATACCTCTGATATGTATGGACCCCACACCAACGAAATCCTTCTGGGCAAGGCTTTGAAGGCCGGATCAGGATTGAGGGAGAAAGTTGAACTGGCTACCAAATTTGGTATTAACTTTCAAGACGGCAAGAGGGAGATTCGAGGGGATCCTGCTTATGTGAGAGCTGCTTGTGAGGCCAGCTTGAAACGCCTTCAACTTGACTGCATTGATCTTTATTACCAGCATCGCATTGATACCAAAGTTCCCATTGAAGTCACGGTATTTCTCTTTAATTATTTTTCTATATACATTGAGTTCTAATTAAATATTTAATCGATGGATAAATTTTCATTTTGCTTGTAGATGTTTTTTTATGTTGTTTCGGGGGATATATCCAAAAACCCTTACACTTTGACATGAATCCACTTAAATCATAAGGGTAGTCATGGTACTGATGCTGCCTTGTGTGTTATGTGCGTTGACATTTTCTCTTGTAGTCTGATCGATGCTCACATTGTTACTACTAGGTGTCCCTTTTATATATGCGTGTTCTAGTTTCAAATATCTTGTTGTTGAGCAGTCATGATGCTTTCCTTTGCTAGATGGGGGAACTCAAGAAACTAGTTGAAGAAGGTAAAATAAAGTATATAGGTCTGTCTGAGGCCTCTGCTTCAACAATCAGAAGAGCTCACGCTGTTCATCCGATAACAGCCGTGCAGTTGGAGTGGTCACTGTGGTCAAGAGATGTGGAGGAAGAGATTGTTCCTACCTGCAGGTGAGGCATTGATGAGAAAAACTAATTTCTTTTCGAAATCAAAATAACTAAAGCTTTAAAATGATTATAGGATGCTTGGGTATGCAGAATCTGATCTTATCTTCTAATTTCTCAGAGAACTTGGCATTGGGATTGTTGCGTACAGTCCTCTAGGACGGGGATTCCTTTCATCAGGACCTAAGTTGGTTGAGAGCTTTACAGAGGGTGACTTCCGAAAGGTTGGTACTGCTCTTTGTGAATACAGAGTTTCTGACTGTAATACATCTGCCGTAAATAACTATTTGTGCTAGGATAAAGTTTTTATAGTTTGGAAACGAAGGAATGTGACAAATTATATCTCCCCCTTTGGTGGGTTGCATATTGGATAACCTACAGGCCTCAGAAAACTCTGCATCTTCCATTTTATGGAGTGGTTTGGAGTCAAAACTCTGTTAAAAAAAAAACACTTTCGTAGAGTGAGAGTTCCTGCTTTGAGATCATGATATTTTAGCTAGCATTTCCTTCATAGTTGCTTTATTCAAACAAATATGTTTTCCACCTTGGATTGATTCAAGATTCTGATTCAAATAGCTCCTGGATAGCTTATAAATCGCAACCTTAAGCTACACACACCCCAATACCCACCCAAAGCCTGTTTTCCCATTTCCTAACCTGTCAATTCTGTTAGAACTTATAAACCATAGTATTTAGGTTCAATCAAATAAAACAGTAAGTCAAGGGCTTTAGTTTGTCCCATGTCCAAACAAAGAATTCTGCATGTTTAATGTTCTTGCTTGAATCTTTTGATTTCTCAGTCATGCACTAAACAAAGGACTAGAGAAACACAAGCTCATGGGTAGAATACCTCCTTTTTCCAATGGTCTGAATTCAGTGCTTTTGGCTCCTAAAAGTCTGTTCACTCATTTTATATTAAGGCAATTTGGCATGTTTGCAACCATAGAACCTGCATAGTATACAACATCATGATGATTAGTTTGGTTTGTTAGAGAAAATATGTTTTTTGCTTGTGATATTTTGCCGTGTTGAGGAAAAGTTGTTCCTGCTATCTTACACTGAGCAAGTAGGACATGCTACAGGTACTTATGGAATGCCTTGCATAAACCGTACATCAATGCTAATTTCCTTTTTGATGAGTTGTTTCAAGCTTAGCTTCTGAAATTATTGTTTCAACTGCCTCAGCATCTGCCTAGGTTCCAGCCTGAAAATCTAGACCATAACAAACAACTATTTGAGCGGGTTAATGAAATTGCCGCAAGGAAACAGTGCACCCCATCACAACTAGCATTGGCCTGGGTACACCACCAGGGTGATGATGTATGTCCAATTCCGGGAACTACCAAGATCGAAAACTTCGACCAGAACGTTGGGGCTCTGTCTGTCAAACTAACACCAGAAGAAATGGCTGAACTCGAATCAATAGCCTCTGCAGGTGCTGTAAAGGGTGACAGATATCAGGGTTCCATGTTTACATACAAGGATTCAGATACTCCCCCTCTTTCATCATGGAAAGCTACATGAAGGCATGATGCCATGTCCGTTATCTCGCTGCTGCTTGTGGATTTCAGATGCCTTTGAAGTGCTCTAAAATTGTGGAAGTTTTGTACTACTCCATCTAAAATGAATAAACGTTTCCGTCATCTGATATTATCGTTACCGGATTCCTGCTTTGCTACAAGAAGATGGATTTTCCTAGTTTCTCTTTTGATATGTAATTATGGAGGGCAAGTAGAGCCTCTATGCGCGTGCAATCTGTGATCATGAATTTATCGAAGGATGAATGCATATTATTATAATTATAACTATAACAAAAACTGAAAAATCTGAAGGGGGGCTATGAGGTGACCGCTTGTCCTTTTTTTTTAAAAAAAAAAACTTCATGTTTTTCCAGTTGTATCTTTTTATTGTCTAATTATATGAAACTATGTTCTAAAAAAAAATCTTACTCTAAATTTTCTATAATTTTTATATTAGCTTTTATATTTTATATTTTTTAAGTAATGAAGTTAGAGAAAATAAAAAAAATTGTTGGAAAAACTGTCAAAGAAAGAAAAGAAAGAAAATGATTAGTTATCATGTTATTGATAATAAAAAATTATAAAAGTTGATATTAATAAGTTTTATTTGATAAAAAAAGTTTGATGATAGTGAAATTTTTTATAAATATATTTAAGAAAATGTTAAGTTATGTTTTTTTTTTGTTTGTTTTTTTTTTGTGATTTTAGAACATTTAAAGGTTAGTAGGTGATCTAAAAAGGCTTTTATGGTATTTTGAGGTGAGAAGAGGTTGAAAAATAAAAATCTCTATCTTATAATTTTTTTAAGATTTTGAGTTGGATATAATAGGTATTTATTTATTTAAAAAAAAACAAATAGAGAATAAACAATATAATAAAAAAATAAAAATAGAAAAGCAGCTCTAATGGAGGTTTTTCTTCAAGGCCTTAATATGCCGAGCGACTCAAACTTGCATGTATGATCTAATTTTTTAAATAAAATAAAAAAGATTTTCTTCAATTTTGGGTTTTTGATTTTTCTTCTTCTTACTTTTTTTTTTTTTTTTTAGAAATGGTGCATGTTTGTCCTCTTATCTTTAGATTTATCAATTTTAGTCTTTATATTTTTTATTGTTTATTTTAATCTTTTGTTTTATTATAAAAATTTTAAATGTTTTTTTATTTAGTCCTTGAATTAACATTTTTTATATATTGTTTTTTCTCATTCAATCTGTATTTATTTATGTTTCTATTATCTTTTATTAATTTTAATAAAAAACATTAATAAATACGAAGAATTAAATATCTCATTTTATAATATTAAATATATTAATTTACATCCATTTCTTAATTTTCAATTTCTTTTTTTATTATTGTTAATGATTTTTTTATTTATATAAATAATTGTTATTTTATTTGATTAGATATTTGCATTCAATTTTTTATTAATACTTTAATTTTTTTTTTAAATAACTTATTTATTTAATTTTTTTTAAAATTACAACCCCTCAGCAACACGCTAATCACATAACTAGTATATATGAAAAGTTTGTGATTGTAAAGTCCTGTACATATCCGTAAAGTAGTTATCTTGTTTTTTTTCTTTAAATTCTATTTTGTAAATACTTTTAACATAAAAATAATCTTAGCTAGCGTTTTATTTTAATTTTTAAAAATTTTAAGATTTATCATGAAAAAAAAGAGATTGAAGAAACTAATTACAGCCTTTTCGCCACCATCAAGACATAATTTTCTAATACATGTAAATGATTCACAAGTCATTAATAAAAGTAATAACCGAATCATACGTGTAGAAATCTCAATCCATAGATATGTATTTTGTAAAGATTCATCATGTTCTTATTTTATCATCGTAATTTTTTAAATTGCAATGATTGGATGATTATAAACTATAATCTTTATAAAATCACAAATTATATTGTGTATTGCATAAGAAAAAAAAGTTATGTGGTGACTCCATGATTAAGAAATGAAAAAAATGAGCTAATATTATCAAGATTGGCCTTTTTCGACCTGTAGGTACCTAATTACATGAATGTTTTTGTAGAGAGTTTAGAAAATATTTTTCAATGAAACAGAGAACAAAAAAAATATCAATTTAGGGCCTTCCTGTAAAGCAAAGAAATTAAAATACAGACTATAGCAATTTCTAAAAACTACAGGAATTAAAATGAAAATTATTGAATAACTATAGGATATCAGGAAAATTTGTTGTTCCAAACATGCCCTTATAACAAAAATTAAAATAAAATAAAACAGTGAAGTCGCTAACATCCTCAAACTTCGAAGCATAGTTTTAAAACCCGGCTCGGTCCAGCGGGTTGACTCGGGACCCGGCCGACACAGGGCTAGAACCGGGCTGGGTTGATGAAAAAATAAGGTAAGCCATGACCCGGCGGGTTGACCCGGAAACCCAGATGATCCGGCAAAACCCGGTTGCAACCCGTTGACTTTTATATTTTTTTTACTAAAACAATGTCATTTTAATTTTTTTTTAAAATAGAAATTAACCCGGCCGACCCGGTCAAAACTCGTTGACCCGGTCAAAACTCGGACCTCGGGCCTTGGACCGGGCCGGCCACCGAGCCGAGTTTAAAAACTATGCTTGGAAGGCATAGTTCAACCAAACTTCAAAGCAAAGCACAGCTCCATACACACACACACGAGTCATCCTGTGGGTAGTGATCTCGAGAGAGACATGGTAAAAGACCTCCTTTATATAGCTCTCCACGACGACAATGGTGGAGTTTCAGAGTTCTCATGTATAGAAATGCTGCTTCCATATCTATCACCCTTTACAGAATCTGCAGAAGCAATGGATTCTAGCTCAGACATGCATCTCTTCAGGTGTGCCTAAGCTAGAATATCTAAAAAACAGTTTACAAATCTAGAAAGATATGGTGGAGTTTCAGAGTTTTTTATGATTTTGTCTAAAAACTTTATTAACCTTTATATGGGACCAAATTTACTCCAAATATCTTACTGTTCTTCCTTCTAATTTATAATGTAGACTTTCCTAACAATAGAATGACATAAGACGTGACATGGTGCGAGGCCAATGTAAGGATATACTTCAGCAATTGGATTAAAAGCCTCGGCTTACCTTAACTCTTTCATGTTTTTAATTTAGAATCAAATTAATAAATTTTATATGATTATTAATTTTAAAATTTATATAATTAATTGAGATATATATAAAATTATTCGAATATCTAAGTTATTAAAAATTACAACCCCGGCCTACAGAGGGGGCATTTTTCTATATTGAGAGGAGCTGAGTCCATAAGAAGTGAATTATATCCAAGTCCGCCATGATTATGATATTGAACCCACAGTTTTAGGTGTCGTCTTCTCTGTCATTAGTTCATAATCAGATATACTTTTTTTTTTTTTTAGTGTTTAAACGAGTCAAGTAATAGCTGATGTTGTTGATGCGTGCCTTTCCTAGTATCAATTTATTATAACTAAATAATAGTTTGTTATAAATAAATATATTATATAGATGATATAATAAAATATATTTATAAACTAGTAAAATAAAACAATATTAAATAGAAAATTTGGGTATACAAAATCAGAATAATAACTTAAAATTACCTTGATGTTGATTTTTTATTTGATTATATTTATAAATTAAGTTAAAATAATCATAATTTTTTATTTGGTTATTGAATTATATTTAAATTTTTACAAAAAATTTTAATATTATATATATATATTTAGCATCACTGTATGGATATTAACTTTTTAAATATAAAAATTTTCACCAGTGCTAAGGATATTTTTTTTGTGTGTGTTTAAATAAGTTTAGTCGCGATTGATTTCGCTTTTATGAGTATAAACTTTTGTAATTTATTAAACTTTTAAATGAATCAAACCTTTTTGTCTTTGAGGTGCCTTTTTTAAATTATTTGAAAACAAGAAGAATGTTTGATTTACAAACTAGGTTAAAAATATTTTTTATTTTATAATAAAATAAAAATTTAACTAAAATTGAATCAAGTGTTATGACATTCACTTCAATTTGAACTCCATGCTACAATATCCACTTTAATCACATGACTTACACTTGATATTAATTATGATATTTAAGATATTTTTAAATTTATCAAAATAATTCTTTCAGTAATTCTATTAACAAATAATAATATATCATTTTACTAATACAATTATCAACAAGATAATTTTTAATTTTTTAATTATTTTTATTTTGTCATAATTCTTTAAATCATTACCAACATAGAATATTTTGTAAGTATTGTTTGATGGATTTTTTCATTATTATTGTTATTGTTATGGTTATTGATCTCTTATAAAAAAAATATTTTATTAATAATTTTTGATGATTTTCAGTTAGTGTATTTATTGCAGGTAGAAAGAAGAAAGCTCCTCCAAAGCCTCATTTCTTCGTACTTTACAGAGAAGGTTGGAAAAAGACCCAAAAATTTTATGGCTTGTAATGGCTTTTAACAAGCAAAGCCTTTCGACTATTTTGTTCAAATTTAAGATCTGGGAAACGAGATTAATTATTGGTGAATCTAGTTGAGGACCGATGGATTTTAACAATTTCAGTATTTAGTTTTATTTTTAAAAAATTAAATCAATTAAATGAAACTATTTTTCAAAAAATAAAATAAAAAATCTTTTTAATCATTAAACCAACCGTTAAGATTATCAATATATCTTTAGACTTAAAAACTAAAACAATTAAATGAAATTATACGAGGGGGTTTTCATTGTTCACTCTTTCAATATTTATCGAGACATAAATTATTATTGATTAAAATATAATAAAGTGATTGTCTTTACCATAAAAACTTGATAGGTATGTACTTGGGATGAGTTTGTCTTTTTTATAAAATTTATTTAATAGTAAAAAAATAATTGAAAATAAAATAATTTGATCAAATTTTTTGAGATTTAGCATCAAGAAATGACATAACTAATAAATACATGGCATTGGAATCAAGAAATGAGATAACCATTAGATCTAGAACATTACCACCAAATTTAAGTTTTCTTTTAAATATTTTTTTAAAATTTAAAAAATTATTATTATTGATCCATGGAGTGTTTTCAATACACTGAAACAAAAAAATAAAACAATTATATATTAATAAAAAAATAAAACTAGACATTTAATTACTCTTACCCAACTATTCTAGAAGATGCAATCTTGCCTTTCCTTCTAAAATACATAAATCATGCCGTTGTGAAAAATGTCATCTCACTCATTCTTCAGAGAACCGCTTCACGGGGTGGCGGTCGGTGAAGTTCGTCCTGGAGAAAAGAGACAGAAATTGTAGGCTTGATCAATACTTGACGCCTCTTCCACGACGAAATCAAGAACACCAATTAATTTGATGTGCTCTTCCACGCCTCTTCCCTCAGCCTTCCTTGCACTTCACGTGCCTTTTAAATAAAAACAATTTCTCGTTTGCATAATTATTATATAAATTATCACATCAAGCTGGTACCAGACACAATTATATTCTTCATCAATGAATAATCCACCAAGAATCACCGGTTCTTCAGGAATCCTGCAATCTCAACCTCCAAGTGATTCCATCTCTGTTGAAAAAGTAGAGCACCTGGTCCAAAATCTGATCAAAAGCCAGTACAGGAGGCGAAAATGGATGCACCTCTGCAATCCTAAACTAGTTCTAGACCTGAATAGAGAACCATGGAGAAACCACTTGATCAAGTCCCTGGAATCAACCCCAGTTCATGTTTTTACAATCTCACTGCTTCTCCTTGACGTCATCTTAACTATCCTTGAACTTTCATCTTCTTTTCTATCATGCACCCCGGAAGAAGACCATTATAACAAAAAAAAAGTTTGGTACCATCTGGCAGGGATTTGTATACTGAGCCTCCTTTCTGCCAAGTCAGTTGCTCTAGTTGTGGGGTCTGGCAGCTCCTTCTTCAAGCGGCCAGGTTATGTTGTCGATGGTGCAGTTGTTATCGGAGCATTATTCTTGGAAACGTTTTTGGGGACGAAGGGTGGAGGATTGCTTGTAATCGTGAGTTTATGGCGAGTTGTGAGGCTGGTGGAGAGCGCGTTTGAGTTGAGTGATGAAGCCATTGAAGCACAGATTGAAGGAATAGTAAGCCAGTTTGAAGCACTTAGAAATGAGAATTCAAGGCTGTTGCAGACAATCGCAGAGAAAGATAGTATGATAGAGAAGCTCCAAGAGATAATAGAGAAGCTAGAAAAAGAAATGAATCAGTATAGATCGACACGCTTGTGTTTTGACCACTGATCAATTAATATATCCCATCTTCTTTAAAGAAAATATAAATTCCCAGACCTATCTTTATGTGGATAATTAATTTGTTGTACTCTTTCTAATGAATGCTTCTTTGCATATGATATTATTGCGTTTTATCTCTGTACATTATTTTTGGTGTCGATTCAATACCTGTTCCGTTTTTGTCCTCTGTATGTTCACTTCTAAACTAGCTGCTGCTGCTATCATTATTATGATTATTGCCGCCGCCGCCGCCATTGTTTCTTCCCACTCCGACCAATTCCATTAAAGGCTTATTCAGCTAAGATATCTTGAGTCTGTTGAGCCATCACTTACCAATTATTTATTTTAAAGAAGGTAAAGATTTGATGCTGCAAGTCTCAACTCAAGAAACCTCCTTATAGATCATAAATAACTTGTATTTGAGCTAATGTAATCTAATTCTTTACTCGTTAACCATTTAATTTCTTTTCAGCTCTAATGATTCACTGTTCTTCGTTTTCATCAATGTCCGGATCCATACAACTGATCTTCCCACATAATATTTTATTGGTCGCTCCTTGTTTTCTGAACTCTCCGCAAAGTCTCTCCCTTCCCAAACCAATTGTTTCCTCAAGTCCACCTTCCTCCCATCGAGTGCTCCTTCTGAGATGGATATAAGTCCCTCTCTGACTTGTAAAAAGCCCAGAAACAAGAGTCATATCTTGTTCAGCTCCAAAATTTGTTCGAACGTCAAATATAAACTATATATATATATATATAGTAATTAGTAGTTTTAATTTCTTGTTAGAATGGATAAATCAAGCCTTTTGATTGTGTTCTTCAATATATATGTGTGTATTATTTTTATTGTTATTTATGCTATTATAGTTACTGAACTGGTTGTTTGATTAATTTAGTTTATTGTCCGAATAAACTAAGATTTCTTTATAACATATACTAAAAGTGAAGGAGTTCTCTTAATATTTACTTACTTACATACATATTATTATATTATTACGGATGAAACAGTATAATAATGGAATTATTTTTAACAAAAAACCTTGTTAAGTATGCAATTGAGAATAGAATTATTTTTTTCATAAGATATATTTGATATTGAAAGGATAATTAGACATAAACTGATTCATTCGATATTTTTTGAGCTATATTATAGATGCTGATTTACCCTTCAAATAACAAAATTTTAATTTTTGAATTGGATTTTTTTTAAATAAACAATTAAGATACAACTATACTCGTGAGGGGAAAAAATATGCATGTATGGAGAGGCTTTACTATCTTTTTTTAATTAAAATATTTCAAATATAAAATTATTCTTGAATTTTAATAAAAAAACAGAATCAAATATAAAAATATTTTAATCATTTACAAAACCCAATCACTTAAATTTAACATGATTGTTAAATTAAGATATTGTGATTTAAGATAGTCATCAAATTCAAAAATTTAAGTCTAGCCACAATGCTAAACCGAAAACGAGAAGGTTTGATAAGCTAGATCTCTATACCTAAGTCTTAGATTTTGTGTTGATTTAGCATGTTTATTATATAGATATATTTAGACTTAACTATTACCCAATTCACTGTATTATGAATCTAACATTTTTAATTATTATTACAATAATCATTAATAATAATAATTTATATTGTTTATTAATTGGTCCGACAACAACACGCAGGCCATACATCTAGTTAAATTACTAAAAGAAAATGCCACGTACTCACTCAGTCAATATTTACACATGATAACAATATAATAGAATAACTGTATACGGTCATTCATAAACATAGGGGTACGTGTCTTCAAGATATAAACTGTAAAATAATTTTTATTTATTATAATAGAATAACTTATCTTATTATTTTGTAAGATAGGTTACAAAATCTTGTAATTATAATAATATCTGTTTATTTGATAAAAAATAATATTTAAAATTTTAAAAATTTATTTATTTTTTAAAAATTGATTAATAAAAAATACTTTTCAATAAAAAAAACTTAGTTTGATTTTTTTTTAAAATATTTTTTTTTTACTTTGAATGAAAAATATTTTCCAAAAGTTATGAAAATATTTTGTTATTTGATTATATCAAATTCAATTATTAAATTTTTTATTGTTATATATTTTATTTTAAATTTTTTTTTTTTACAATTTCATCCTTTAAAATTTTAATTTTATTTTTATATAAATTTAGATTTTAATTTTTTATTTATTTTTTATCATTTTTTTAATTAATTGTTTTATCTATTATGGTAAATATTTTTTTATTATTTATTTTTATTTAAAATAATTTATGAAATTATAATTTTTTAATCTTACTATCTTTCAATTTTTTTTATTTGTCTTTGATTTTTTATTTTAATTATTATTTATTTTATTTAAAATAATTTACGAAATTGATTTTTTTAATTTAATTTTCTAATGTTTTTATTTATAAGATTTTGTTAGTATATTTTTAATAAATTTAAAAAATTAAATATTATATAGTTAAATAATAAAAAGTATTTTCAAACTTATTTTTTATAATATTATTAAATATAAAAAAATAATTTATATTTCTAAATCCCACATAAAAAAAATAGTTATTTTCAAGTGGAAAAACAAACGGGCCTAAATTAAAACCAATGAAGCATGGCGGGACGAGATAAACTAAACAAATGGAAAAAAGCTTGTTCTTCCTGGTCATGGCTGCTTACCCTAGAAGATTTTATTTCGATTAGGGTAAGCAGCAGCCAGAAGCAGAAGCGGGAAGAATGTTGAAGGGAACGGTAGAGCTTCAGCCGATTGGTGGGGAAGCGCAGAAGATTCCTCCCCAATCGCCTTTCTCCTTTTCAATTCCATTTCCACCCTTATCAATATCATCCCCGCCTCAGCTTCAGCCTTAGGTACTGACTGTATGCACCGCACATGCATTCATCTCTCTTAATTTCTTCTCTGGTTGTCTAATTATTTTGTCATTCTGAATCTCAGACCTCGTTGAAAATGAAAATGGAAGAATGATGTCTCCAAGGAGACGGAAAGAAATCCAAACTACACCGCCGTCTTCTGATTGGGTATCTGGTCCTGTTTGTTCCTCTGAACTTTCTGCTCAACGCCACATCATCAACTCTCATTTAGGTATGAAACTTTTTTTTTTAATTAAGGTCCTTTATAACTAGGTTTGATCAATTAAACGAAATTCGAGTTTTATTCACCAGATATTGTCATTCCTTTAAGTGGTTACGACTCTTCTATTATTTATTGGTGTATCTAGATGCATGCCTAAGTATAGAGTGGTGAAAAAGAGTTGGGAACAGGAACTGCACAGGAGGATGCGGCATTTGGTTTTGAGCTTTCAGAGCGATACTCCATGAATGATGATGATTGGAAAATTTTCATTATTTGAAAATAGTATATTTACCAAAGTCCACCCAAAACCCAAGTACATGCGAATTTCCATCCTTTCATCCTTCTTTTTGTGTATTGTTCTTCCTAGATAAAAGAAAAGACCTAGAAAGTTTTTATTTTGTTCTCTCTTTGTGACACATAAAAGCACTGTACTGTTTACTAATAGTGCTTGAATGAATCCCAAAGATAAAGCCTGCATGGCTTACTAATTGTTTAAAAATTTTCCTTGCAGAGAATTTCGTCTCTTCTCAACATTTTGCTCCCTCTCTTTCTCTCTTTCTGAATTGTTCTTACTGTGTGCGTAAGAGAATCTCTCCCCTCCCCTCACTTTTAATTCTTCTCGTGTAATTTAGCAACATTTGTTTGCTTCTTTTTTCTTTTCTATGATTTTTTATGGTGGGGTTTTAATCCATATTTCTGAGGCTAATACTCTTCGGCTAATCTATCATGGCATGGCATGGATGCTAAACAGACCGTTGAAATTGTCAAATTTACTAGTTATTTCTTAATAATTAACTTGGATTGGATGTTCTGCTGCAAGCTGCTATTGTTTGTGTGAGTTTGGTCTTTTTCTTTTTCAACGTTTCATGAATATGGATTAAAAATATTATATTATATAATTACCAAGGCTAATGATTTTTATTGACTTTGGACTTGATTTTCTTTTTTATTTGTAGCAGATGTTATATATATATATATATATAGCACACATGTCCTACTACCAGTGGTTGGGGATATGAATTACATGGCGGAAGAGGCAGAAATGGTCAATTTCGTCGATGAAATTGATGGAGGAGCCACTGCTGGTGTGGAAGATGTTGAAGCCAATGAATACGACTTGGTATTCTTCTTGACTTATTTTTTGGTAGTTTTGGTGTATGTTTTTTTTTCTTATGGATGAGTATTTTATTTCAGGTAGAATTTACAAGATTAATTAATCTGGAATTCTTGGTAAAAAATGAGCAGCTTACCAGGGCTATGGATACATCTTCTGGGCAGGCCAGGAATGGGCAAGACATACAGGGTATTCCCTGAGAAAGATTGAATATAACCAGGGAAAAGTACATATTGACCAGGCTTGAGCACTACAAGAATTATGAGAACATTCCATTATCTGGCGAAGCTGTCGATAAGGTACTTTAATACTCTTAATATTATTTGTTATTAACTTGTTTTCCGGGTTTCATAATTCTTTGTGATTATTGTACTTGGTTGTTTTAGGAGTGCAAACAAATGGAGAAGGGAGGCTACTACTATGAATTCTTCCATAATACTAGATCGGTTAAGCCCACTATACTTCATTTTCAGGTTTGTGGATTTTGCAACTTCTGTATGTGAATAGCAGATTCTTCTATGTACTTGTCTATGTAAAAACCTGGTCGTTTGTGTTTGTGTTTGAGCTGTCTTGACATCCTTCTGAAATAGGGA